ACTGTCCTTCAATCAGAAGCAAGGAGTGCTTATAAAAGAGACAGCATTGTGAGCTCTTACCAGTCAGGCTCTGGCCATATTCCAGGACACAGTGGATCCTGGGTATGACTAAAGCCCGACTATACATTGGATAGACAATGCAGCCTGCTCCTGACATGTACAGGAGTCAGAGCCTGTGGAAATCCAAACAAAGGCAGGGATTACTTCATATCCAGCCTTATAACTTCTAGTCACCTGCTCTATCTCCTGTGCAGGAAGTAGCATCCTGCTCCTAAAGCAACTGCTTCTCTGTTAAGATTTGATATTGCTGTGTCAGACTTGAAACGCTGTATCATCTGTTATGTTAGCAAGGTAGTCAATTGCAGACCTTTGTATATGACAGATGCTAGTGGAGCCAGGCGACTTCACCCTGGGAGGATACAGTGGGAACTACTCTGGCATTGTCAGTGTTCACAAGAGACTTTAGATTCTATGAATATATCATGCAGTGACATTTGCTGCTGAGACCCTACCTGTCACAAACTGCAGACGTTCACAATATAAAGTATTGCAGGATATTAAACTGTTATCATTCTGTTGTCATTTATACTCACAAATTCAACGTTGCAAGCTTGATTTGCATTCTCCTTGTATTTTGGCATTTACAAGCTGTAGTTCCTTTGTTCTTCTGTCTAAGAAATCCTGTTCCATTTTATGTCATCAAGCAGGGCTGAACTTTGTTGGAAATCAATTATTTACTGGTGCCGAAAGGATGGTATTACATATTTCCCTTTTAAGTTATTCACACACCAGATGACTTTGTTCTTGATTATGATTTGTTTGTTTGTTTTTTGTGTAAATGTGCAGATCTTGTCCTTGTAACCTCAGCCTCTGAATTCTATGTCTTATCATACATTGGACACTAGATAGCACTGTTCCCACAGATTCATTCACTGTTAGCACTCCTAAATCTGTTAGATTTTTTTTCTATCTTCTCTTTGACATGGACTATGGATGCTTTCTGGGTGGGAGAGATGAAGTCAAGTAACATCACACACAGTACAGCCAAGCCTGTCCGGCATATAGAAAGAACCCTCCTGCACATTCTTGCTTTATTTCCCAAATAGTGCATGATGGAACACCTCTGATTAGAGACATTTGATGGCAACATTGAAAGGGTACATATATGGGAGCCCTCAGGGTTTTGCTAGTGAGATTTAAGCTTGTTTTACCAGCAAGGCTGCATAAGAGTTGATTAGACCATGGGGTGATTACTAAGTGTTTTGTAGCATCTACACTTGTTTCTAACAATTGGAGATGGAGGTAAATTTATCAAATTTACTGACATTTTTTACAGTTCTGTAAGCTGCTGCTTTAATTAACGGTGCCCAGTGATTTGTGAAGAAATTATAGCTGTCTGTATTAATGGCTTAGTGATCCGTCAATAGAAGCTTCATCATGCCAAGAAGTGTTATAATGACATGATTTTTAAAAAGAAGAAGAGAGAACATAACTTATCAGTATTCTGATATTTGAAATGCAGGACATTCCGCAGTGTAGCTCTTGATACATGTGTGAGGGATTACAAAAGGGGTGTGGAGATACTGTTTCTATGTAGGAAGCAGACAACCACGTTTGAAAGTGGTGGAAAAAAAGGATAGCATCAGTGATAAGAATTTTATGGAGTTATTACTTGCATAATCACAGCATGTGTGTATTTTCTGAGGAATATCCATCAAGGTATTCTATATTATCCTGAATATAGTCTATACCCCAATGTAGATGGATATGTCATCAAGCTAACTGTTCAGAATTATGAAGAACTTGGAAATATTATTACAATATACAAATGAAAATATGGCATTTTTATTACCATCCAATTCTAGGACAAAGGCATAGTGAGTGGATAGTGAGAGTAAACACCTGAGTTTTACAGGACAGTTTGCTTAACATATTCTGGGAATTTCATGACTGTGTACAAATAGTAGATGGACTTTTTAATTAAAAATGAAAACTTGGAATCTGATATTGGAGTAAATTCTCAACATGGGAGAAACAAAAGAACAAGATACTGCCAAGTCTCACTTTGCCAAATCCATTAATCCTCTGAATAAATGATTCTGAGTCCTTAGCCAAAAGCTATCCAGGTGAAAAGCCTCTAGTTCCTGTTTCCTCGGGTCTTATATACCTTAGTGTGCCCAGCCATCACTACTTTCCTAGTGCTGGGATTAATGGCATATGTGCTTCCCAAATCTTGGGATTAAAGGTGTGAGATCTCAAGAGCAGGCGCTAAAGGAAAATGACCACCAGTACTAGAATTGAAGGTGTATTCCAATAATGCCTGGCTTAGTTTCTCCCTTAGACCCAGTCACTCCCATGTAGTTCGGGGTATCTTTGGGGGCGATGATATACACACAGATCTCTGCTTCTCACGTGGTAGGATTTCAGGTGTGTGCAACTACTCCCTGACCTCTACCTTGAATCTAGTGGCTTGTTCTGTGTTCTGATCTTCAAGCACATTCTTTAGGTTATACAATATATCACCACATATACCTGGGGGAAATTCTATGTCAATCTGACTTTGGTGTGCACCTTTGCATGCCACTAAAATGTGATGGCTATTTAAGCATTCCTGTACTCTTGAAACTGTATCAGCTGCATATGCATGCATAATTCTTTCACTCTAAAACCCAGGGAATATCTAGTGTATCCTGTGGATGAATGGTGAAGTGAAAAATGTATGAGTGGCTTATATGTTTTAGTAAGATGACAAGTTTGAAAGTTAGATTATCTCATGTATTCTAGTCCTGGTATTCTGCCCATGGGCTAGTTGTTCTCATACTCATGCATACTCAGGTGCTTTGCATGAACACAGATAACCAAAAATAGAGCAAATATATGAGCAAAGGATGGAATAGTGATTGCAGACTAGAGGGAATCTAGTGAAGGGAATGCAGTGAATTTGATCAAAATTTCAGTAGTTACACGTTAAATCTGAAAAGGAATTCCATGAATATGAACTCACACTGTGAAACCAAATTAATGCCAAATGCATGCAGACATGTGGAACCACAGCAATAATCAAACAAATATACAATTGCTGAAGGTATGTATTTATCATGAATATGTCTTTCTAAATGGAATACATCAGATTATTGCTTAATCAACATGACACTATAAGATACGATATGAAGTTTAGGGACGTTCAGAGCAGGTGTTCAAAGTCACGTCTCTATTTAGAATACAAACATCTAATTTCAGGCACTATGTATTCACACCCACACCTGCACTCACCCCCACACACAAACGTGTGTGTGTGTGTGTGTGTGTGTGTGTGTGTGTGTGTGTGTGTGTGTGTATTGCTAATTTCAAGCATTTAATTATTTCTGTTGGGGAAGCTAACATGTCATATCAGAAACTGTCAACAAGAAGCAACTGGCAGCAGAGAATCATAATCGTCCATCTCTAGGAATAATCGGAGGCTTTCATGTAGATAGGCAGGATTTGGACACCAGCAGAGGGATAAAGGATCACACCCTATATGACACTGGTTGTATTTTTCTTTTTGATAATTGCAATGAGGAATCAGGATCAATTACATTCTTTCCTGCTCATCCTCTTTCAGTTT